AGGCATGAAGGTCTAGTCAGAGACATATTAGAGGCAGAAACAGGAGTTAGGAGGGGTAGAGGTAGACCTAGATTAGATTACTGTTCGCAAATAGTTAAGGATGTGGGTTGTTCTAGTTTTAGGGAAATGCGAAGTTTAGCTCAGGATAGGAAAGAGTGGAGGTACGTGACCAACCAGTCTTAGGACTGATAACCTTATGATGATGATGATGATGATGATTCTACAAAGGTCATTCCTATCACAGTCCCCATTTCCGATCGACGCTATTTCATAAACACAATTACCCATTTCCAATTCTCATCTACACTCCCTGCTCCCAATATTAGGAGGTTCTTCCCCATTTAAACATCTACTTCTACCCTACAAAATAGTTTCCAGTATGTATTTAGATTAATAATTGTATTTATATTCACATTTGACCGAATTTTATGTTAATAATCACGTTATAATTAACAGAACAGTGGAATTATTCTTATTAAATTACCACATGAGTTTTTTCATACCATGTTTCTTGTATGTGCGTAATTTTCTACATAAAGAAAAAATGACCACCAATTATCAACACATGGCTGCCTTTGGGAATCTGTAATGAAATTATACCCTGGACCACTTCCTACTCGTCTAGCTAATGTGACGTAATACATAAAAAGTACAGCAACTGGCGGTGTTAATCTGAAATTGTTTTATTTCATCTCATGATTACAATGTTTAGATACGTAAATAAAACTACAGTTTTGGTTACTTTTTAAAGCGATTATCAAGACGTATAAATTATTTAAATGATTAGAATTTTATGAATAAGTATTAACAATAAAGATAGAATGGCTTTGCATATATGAATGAAAAATTTATACAATAGCTAAGTGCNGGAAACTGTTAATTGACATTAATTACAGAGTAGTTGTTTTATTTTTTTAAGAGCAACCTTAATACGTATATAAATAGCCATTTCAAAGTGGTTTTTAACGAAAAACAAAAATATTTACCGTTTGAATATCGTTGAAATTAATTGCCATTATATCTTCCATTCGCAAATAATATGAAAAATTCGCAAATAATATGAAAAAGGAATATGAGATGATTTATTTGAAATAAGGAGTGTTTTTTTGTTTGATTACATTCAACACCCCTCCTAGGATGTTCATTGGCCGATTGCACTCTAAGGAGTGTTCGTACACTTTGGGTTCCCCCCGTTGTTGTCCCCCTAGATGTTGTAAACGTTTGTGAATAAAACGATTTTTTTTCTTTGTCATCGAAATATAAGTCGTTAAAAGCTTTTTTGTTTTCAGCCTAAAAATTTTACCAAACCGATATCTGCAAAGAGACAATACGGCAACGAAGAAAACGAAGACCCACATGAATCATCTAATCAGTATATTTTTATACCGCATTCAAACCTTTTAAAAGACTGTTTCGTAAAAAACGACAGTTTATTTTTCGATATAAAAATTAAAAGGTAGATCCTTTTAATAAACGAGTCAGACCTTTGAAATAAATTAAAATACTGCTAATAATATAAAATATAACATTACATATCTTATTCTAATTAAACTAAGCTTCAGAATGTTATTTATTTAACATGACATATATACCTGACCATAGTTTACCTCAAGATGTTTTTTTTTTGGCTTTGCACTAATTTTGTACTCTGTTTTTCACTTGTTTTTCAATAAAACTTTTTGTAAAACACCTTTTATGTTCTATAAATATTATCATAAATGTATGACACTTTTAAATATTTTTGTTAGGGGAACATGGTAAGTAAAATAATACCTACAATATTTTTAAAAGAGCAGAAAAGATATAGATAATCATTTCAATATTTGTTTTTGGTTACGTGCTTCTTCCTTATTTCACCTTAAAAAACAACCTGGAGAATTTTTGTAGGATTAATTTTAACACACATAAGTGAATTAACTTTCGAATTTATTTTTATCACTACAGATTACCCCAAATTAATGGGCAATCTCAAAAAAAATTAAACTAAGTCATTTCGTTTTTTCCTGACAGAGGATCTAATTGTATTCGTTTACACCCAACTTCACATTTAAGCCGTATAATTTTTATATGCTTTGAGAGCTCATATAGCAAGGCTTGTGTGTGAAAAATTCCAATTAATTCTACGCAGTAGTTTTTGGTTGGTGCCCTTTTAAATATGG